CCTTGACGTGGCAGGTGAGCTTACACTTTAATGGCCATTGGGTTGTTACTAAAAACCTCCAGTTATTTAAAAATGCACAGGGATTTGGGATAGTGCGCAATTAACTTTTTTCTTTGTTTTTTTATTGTATGTAGTGATTATGGTCCATTAATTTAAACTAGATTGTTTGCCTTATGCTGGTTCGAGCACATAGCCCTTTGTGGCAAAGTGGCAATGGATGGGTTAAAGTAAAAACATCATAATGGATACTTGGCATTGCCCAGGGAGGCAGATCGGTGTCTCAGGAAGATTAAGGGCATTTTATAGTTTTGTTTCGTTTTTTTTACTACAGTGATTTGATTCAACGCCTTGAAAGTCAAGAAAACATTTAAAATTTTGCTATATCAAATTACAGTAAAAAAGACATAATGACTGACTTTTGCTGCAGAGTATCAATATTTTGGTGTTAGTCATATTTATTTCATTTTCTTAAGTGGTGCTGTGTGAAAAGTGTTCTCAAAACCATTTTTTTTAACGTGGCTGTGCCACATGCACTAAGACACGAGAGTTGCACGTGTGTACACCCCTCCCCCAATTCTATTTCCAAATTATGGATCCGATTACGAGCGTAAACACTGTTTTATAAACTTGCAGTGCTTAGTTGCTTGAGTGAATGACCAACTTTATTACCCATTGGTTCTAAGTGCTGTGTGATAATTTAATTTCATTGGCATTTTACTGCAATTTCCCCGAAATTTATGAGGGACAAAATTACACCATAAAACGAAGGCTTTCCGCTGTGTACTTTTGCAAACCATTGCCCGGGAATATAATAAGGATGAAAAGAGCTCGGTGAACTAGCATAGGATTGTTCAATCTGAAAAATCTTTCAATCCTGTGGCTACACAATATATGGGCGATATAAAAAATGAGTAAGACTCTCAGACAGTTGGACTTTTTAGATAACATGACTCAAGCATTGTCCTGCAGCCATTGAACTATTTTCCCCAGAATTCTTTGCCAATCATAAAAGGGGTATAGCAGTTTAACAATAGCCAAATAACTAAAAAAAACTGCTCAGCTGAGCAGAAAACAACTAAACTTTGAAGGTGCTCCTCTTTTTCTCCCTCTTAATCAGTGGCTTATGTGGTGTCCTTAAATTTTTTAGTTTAACCCTTTCGGCGCCACACATTGCTCTGTACTCAAATGGGGGCCCTGGCAGCCAATGGGTTAAGCCTGTCTCATAGGCTCCCCATGGAACGGTCTGCATTAATATTAAAATGCCTGTTTCATTTTCAGACATCCTGTTATTGAATAACTGCCGGGATCGCGATAAGTACAAATATGTTGCATGGATCTCAGGAAATATGGTATGCACAAGAATGCCAGTTGAACATACCCTATAATTGGCAGAAACCTCATATAATCAATGATAATGACTGCGCAGACCGACAAAGTGAAATGCAATAACATTGAGTCCATCATGCAGAAAATAAAAACCATTCCTAAAACCGTGAACCTCGAAACCAATCAGCGGGGCAAAAGGAAAAAAAGCATCCTATAGTTTGGGAATTCCTCGGCACAGTAAGATGGTAAACAAAAATATATTATGGGAAACACTCGTCGAAGACCGTGGCAGCTATGGATGGAAGATACTTTTTATTGATTGTATTTTCATCCAATGGCTCATCTTGTAGAATTTGCCAAGAAAATTCCCATTGGGCGTCATTCTTCATAGGGTTTTGTTGGCAGCCACATGGTAACGGAGAGCTAAACATTGCATTTTTAACTCTCCCCAAATATTTTCTTCTTTTTTCCTTCTCCCGCACATCAAAGGACGTATATCTATATCCATTTTGACTCAGTTATTCCCATGGCTTCATGGTTCCTTCCCTCCCCAGTCTAAATATACTGTGTAAATTCCGTTTTTTTCTGAATTTTTTTCCATCTCAGTTTGTGGCTCGCAAAAAAAAGAATCAATTTCTCAAATTTCCATAAATACGTTCTCTGCCTATTGTTTCTCTGTCGCTGACTGAGCGACTTACGCATGTCACCAGCGACTTGCACGGAATATGAATTAGACAAACCGGCAACACTAAAACAATCATTTCATTGTGGAACTTTTATTAAACGCTGAATATTTCAAAATTACATCCAATGAGTGGACAAGTAGCGAAATGCCCGAGGGGATCTATGCACTAAATAGCTAGTTGGAACGATAATAACCAATTGAAAAAATGAAATCTAACATAGGTTATAAAGCTGGAACATTATTTTACAATTATTTCAGCCTACTTTGTCAGTACACTATAACTATATGGTTAGTAAATACACTCCGAAACAAAGTCAGCAAAATTATTATATAGTATGTATATAGTAATTATTATATAGTATGGGTTTAAAAGGATAATCTAAGTACCAAAACCACTTTATCTTAAAGGGATACTCTAGTTCTGAAAAAGGGAATTGTTTTTTTTTTATACACTATAGGTTCCCTCCTG